GAGGGAGAAGCAGGCTTCCCGCGGAGCAGGGAGCCCGATGCAGGGCTCGATCCCAGGACCCCGGGATCATGACCTGAGCCGAAGGCAGACGCTTAATGACTGAGCCACCTATTCACCCCAGAATTGGCATTTCTAACAAACTCCCAGATGATGCTCCTGCTAGTCCATAACCTGCTCTTTGATTAGCAGCGTCTTTATGGATGTAGTGTTAGGAGTTTGCTTCACGTGCTTATTTCAGACTTGCCAACTTTCCTTTCCACCTTCAGAATTTGCTTAGAATGTCCTGGAAGCAGTTCTCTTGAAATAGTATATAACTTTTTAAATTGCTTCTTACGTGACTTAAAAGATTGCAATCGGTTTACTCAATCACTTTTCAAAAAACCCTTTATTGAATACCTGCTGTGTACTAGATGCAGCTAATTCAAAAATGATAAAATTTTCTGGGCAGTGCAGTGTTTGAATACCCCTCCTGCATTTAATGGGGACTAAAATAATTGGGATTACAGCAATGAAGGGAAGGTGTATGAAACATACAGTACCTTATTGTTACATTTCTTTTATGCTATCATCTTTTCCTTCATTGTTTATGAAGCTGGCTTTCTTATTTGAGTTTAAAAACAGTTATAATTTGGGGGTGCCTGGGTGGTGCAGTTGGTTAAGTGTCCAACTCGGTTTCGGCTCAGGTCGTGATCTCAGGGTCATGAGTTTGAGCCCCACATCAGGCTTCACGCTCAGTGGGGAGTCTGCTTGCGATTCTCCCTCTCCCTCTCCCTCTGCCTCTCCCCTGGTGTGCACTCTTTCTCTCTCAAAAATAAATAAATCTTAAAAAGAATTAAAAAACAAAAAGTTATAATTGCAGGTAGACCTGAAATAGTAAGTTTTGGGGGTGGTTTTGTTTGTTTTTACCACTCCAAGCATCTGTAACCAATGTAATCTCAGCAGCATGACACTGTACAAGGTCCTGTGTGAACAGGCTGGACATACACAGGTGTCAGGCGGGCACTGATACTATAGTTAAATATATACATATAAAGGGGAATATAAAGACTGAATGCTATGTATTATATATCAGACATTCTGGTCAGAGGGAGTATAGTGAGGAGATCCAAATGGTAAATACATTTTCTCTGGGGTAAGGATTGGAGAATGAAGAGATAAAGACTGGCCCTATGAAGTGCATAGAGGACATGTCATCCCTACGTTGTTTTTCTGTCACATTCCTTGTTCCAGGCAGAGAATAGACTCCATTCATAAACCTCTGTGTTTTAAGCCTCTCTCTTTCCCTTCTAGTGACTGCAGGGTGGCATGGGTCTCTGCCCAGGCTCGGAATGAGACAACAGCAAGGCGGCTATGGGACGTCAGCTGTGACCTGCTGGGCATCCCTATGGACTGACAGGTGGTAGCAGGTGGACTCAAGAGAAACCCGCAGCAGACTACTCAGTACTCCCTGCCAAAATGATTCTCCTTCATGACGGCCAAAACCTTGAGCACAAAGAAAACAAACCTTCCAGCCTTTCCTGCTTGATGTCTGATAAAAGCCCAGTGTAACTGCCAGATTCATCAAAACACGTTGCATTAGTCCAGATTGATTTTGCTCTTGTTACTGCCAGACGTACAAGAGGTATCATAGGATAAGATCTTCATATGACCTGCAAACTCATATTCGCCTTCTGAAACCTACTACCTAGGAGAATCTTAGCTATGGCAGCGTCAATTTATGGCAGTTTGGATTAGTTTCTACCCTCTTTGTTCACAATATAGTTCCTCCCAACCACCAACCAACTTTCATTTCAAGAGAACCACACTGCAGCCCCAGCTGAACTCCCAGAATCAACGGTGGCTTGGCTTAAGAGCAGGGCTCATCCCTCACCTATTAAGAAAACCATCATATGCCAACATCTGGATTCTCTCAGGAAGCTCTTAACTGAATCTGGATTATGGGATGGGCTTTATCTTCAGCAACCTAAAGCCACTTTAAGACACTTTTACATGTCGACCACAGAAGAGCTTCCTTTTCTAGGAAGTTCATGGGGTTGGGAGGATGGCAGAAATATGGAGGAAAGCAGAAATAAAAATCAAGTTTAAACTGTCATTTTCCTACTGTTTCTCAGGCCAGCAAGTGGGTAAAGAAAGGAGCAGTACAGGAAGATAGATCACCTACCTGACTTCAGTTTACTGACCCCAGACCCATGGAGGCCTTTTTGTGCCTTAGTTTCTCTTAGAAAATCAGAAGAAGGGAAAGGCGAGTGATTGTCACTGAGTATATCTTTGTGTGTGTTCTTATGTAGTTATGCAATTGGGATTATTTTTACAAAATTCAAAGTAGCTACAAAGGAACAGTATTAAACTGGACCCTGGCGCAGGTAAGTGTTCAAAGATGGAGAAAAGAGTGTCATCCAATCTTTAATACAAATGAGTGGAGCTACAAAGGGAAACAGATTGTGTATATGTGGATAACTACTCACCAAGAAGCAAATGGGTAGAAGGGAAGAAGCCCAAAAAAGAGAAGAATCCTGGAAGATAATGCATACAGTGAAGGGCCAGTTAAGGATTAAAAAAACAAAACAAAACAAAAAACAGCTAAAGATGGCAATATGTAACTATAGAAGAATTGAAGGTGAGCACCTGAGTTAGCAAGACTGATACTGCACTGTCTTAACAAGCACCAATCAATCAAGGGGGCAGAAAAAGACCCCAAAAAAACCCAATTCTTTATTAGGCAAAATTATCCTAAGGACTGATATTGGTAATTTATAGTCAATTTAATAATCTTCAGGGCATTTCCTGACATTATCTTGACAAGATTAAAATGTCTATTTGCTAAAAACCTACATTTAATTTGGAGAACTCTTATCAAAGGTAATGCTGCCATAGGAAATTGGAGGAATCAGTAATGTTCCCATCACTTGTTTGGAGTATGTTATTCTAATAGTTTGTGATTACCTTGGACTGACAATTACATATTCACTTTGGTGGGGGAAAGAGTTATAGGACCACAGTCTTCTCATATTTGTAAATGCATATTTTTTTGTTGCACTTGTTTTTACTATTAAGGTATCTAATTTAGAAATGGTCGTTTTATGGAAAAATTGGAAAATTTTAATAATAGTTAAGTAGCATAATTGAACTCATATTTTACTTAATTTATGTTGAACTGTCAATAACAGAAAGTTTTTGATTATTATGTTTTTATCTACCAAAATAAAAACTGTATTAAATGAAAGTTTAGAGTCAACGGAAGAAAACAATTAAATGAAAGTTTAATTATAAGAAGAAAACACTTTTCATTATTATGGTTATACAATCACTTCTCATTTTTAAGGATAATTTGTCCCAGGGTCTAGCCACAGTACAGCCTCAATCAGATGTTATAACTTCAATTGTGTGATAATGTGATTGTTGATTCACCATTTTTCTACTTGTCTTTTATGATGCTGTTCAAAGATCCCTTTTTTCCATCCGAGGCTATTACGTCTCCTTTTTGTACCTGCCCCTTCTATGACAATGCTGTGGGTCTTATCACAGTACACTTCCACTAACAACCTCAGATTTTGCTATCTCTGTACTCAGTGAACATTAGGAGCTCAACGCTTGTTGAATCAGGGGTCAATGAATCAGTCTAATAAAAATAAAGGTCCAGGAGATATAAATCACATCATTTCCCCCTGAACAATCATGTATCTTTTAATATGTTTGGGCAGTTTTATATATTGGGCTGCCAAGCAAATATTTCAGAAAAGGCTTCGATAGGAAAATCATTTCATAAGTTGAAAATAAGAATTTCCCGCCACTGAACCATGAAACCCCATGTAGTGCAGAAAAGTACTTCGTAATTGTTAACACATTACACACAGTGGGAAAGAGACCTGAAGACGCCGGGTCTGCCTTGCTCACCACATTTTAAAATAACCCAGCGCAGGGTGGCTCTTTTATTCGCCAACATAGGCCCATATCCGGCATGATGACCACGCGTAACATTAACAAAGACCTGCTGAGTGAATGAATGCACTAGGCGAGCCCAGACGCTAGAGGCGGAGTGTGTATTTTGGGAGTCACACTGGGGACCATTTCTGAAAGCATATGACCCTGGTCACTTGACTTCCCCAGTAAAAGTGCTTTACTGCTCCAGGGTAAGCTGGAACCTGGCCCGGCTATCTTTCGAGGGCTGAAAGCTAACGTTTAGTCAGGACGCGAACTGAGGAGGTCAGAGCGGTCATACAGTGCGATGACATCGAAGATGACTTCCAGGCGCTTACTGACACCAAACTACAGGGTGTCAGCACTACCCACTGCGGCTGTGGCGTTGACAGAACCACCGCCCCCGCCGACACATGACTCCGGCGTCCCGGCGTCTTCCGCGCCGAACTACAGCTCCCGGCATGCACTGCTGTCTCCCCCTCCCACCGCCGCCGGGAGGTGGGGCCCTGGGGGACAGGTCGGCGGGCTGCCGGTCCCGCGGGACCTCACAGTCCCTTCCGCTGTGGCTCTCTCTCCAACCCTGGACCGGGTATTTCCGGGGCTCCAGGACTGCCGCTCGTCCGGCGTGCTGCCACCCTTTTAGGAATCGCCCGGGCGGGCAGCCCACCCGACTTTCCGTCAGGCTTCCGCGCCCGGCGCTCCCTCAGTGACGGAATGAAGGGGCTGGGCGTTCTGGCTCGGGAGGACCCCGCCGCGGCCCCGGAAGCGCCTCGTCCCGGGTGGTGGTGGCGGCGGTCGCCGTGATGTCTGCGGGGCTGGGTGGCTGACCGCCGGGATAGGAGCGGCACCGGTGCCCCAGATCTCGGTGGCCGCTGCTGGAGCACGGCCTGCGCCATGGCCACCTCTGCCATCTCCTCAGAGCATTTCGAGAAACTTCACGAGATCTTCCGCGGCCTCCATGAAGACCTGCGAGGGGTGCCGGAGCGGCTCCTGGGGATGGCAGGGACAGGTGAGGCGAGGGCGGGACGAGCCATGGGGAACTCGGCCCCGCGCGTGCCTAGGGAATAAGAACCCCCCACCCTTCTCCTGAACCGGGTCCCTCTTCCCCTCCGATGCATGTTCTCAGACACGCCCCCTAGGGTTGGGTGGGTCTCGGCGCTCCAGATTTCCCTGCTGCCACTTGAGGGTGCTCCGGGATGAACCTCTGAGTGTTGTCTCCTAGGGGTTCTCCCTCTAGATCCTACTGTAGCCGTCAAAAATTTCTTGTCTTATTTTCACCGTGGCAAGAAGAGCATAGGAGACCTTAAATCTGAGGCCCTATATTTCAGTAAAATTGGTTTCTTTCATAACTGCCTGTATATTTTGTTTTATGCATTTAAAAGCATTCTCAAGAGAAGTCCATAGTTCTTACCAGACTGGCAAAGGATTTGTAGCACCAAAGGGCTAAGAAGCCAAAGGAAAAACAACTTTGGGATTGGTAAATTACCAGGTTTGGGGAGGGAGTGGTCTTTAAAATCGGGATTGTGAGTTCAGGTGTGGTCCTCTTATGAACTTTTTTATGCTTAGACTGTTTTCTGTCCCTTGATTTCAAAATTCAGGTTGCTGCAAGCTTTGCCTGGAGGAGTTAGTTTTCCAATTAAATCTCTAGGAAGACCTGTCAGGTTCTTTGCCACTCAGAACAAATAGATCTTGATGTCAAGGCTGATAAGACTTTGTTTTGTTGTTTTTACTTAAGGGTCAGAGCTTGAGTGTTTGCTCCGCGAGTTTCCTGGTCATGTGAGTTGAATGACTCTGATGAGAATGCCAGAGAATGTTAAACATATTGAGAGAGACTGCTGTGTTCCAGGCACTGACCTAAATGCTGGTAATATTGCAAATTATTGCAGTGAGGAGACTTACAAATCCTTGTTCTAGTGGGTTGATGATGATGTATAAATATTAAGGGGAAAGTAATGCAGGGCAAAGGAATGCAAGGGAGGACTCTAATATTAAATAGGGTGGCTGTGAAAGGCTTCTTTGAGAAGGTGGCATTTGAGCAAAGACTTGGATGAATTAAGATAGTAAACCATGTGAAAATTTGGGAGAAGTGAGTCTGAGGAGGACAGAATAGCATTGCAAAGGTCCTTAAGCAGGTATGAGCTTGGTAGGTTCTGGAAAGAGCAAGAAGGCCAATGTGAAATGAGCAAAGGAGACAATGGTAGCAGATGAGGCTACAAAGAGGTAGGCAGGGCCAGATCACGTGTGGACTTATAGACCCTAGTGAAAGATTCGCACTTTTTTCTAAATGTGATGGGATGCACTTAACAGGGTATTAAATTTTTTTTAATTTATTCATTTGATACAGAGAGATACAGAGAGAGAGCGTGAGCAGGGAGAGAGGGAGAAGCGGACTCCCTGCTGATCCGGGAGTCCGACGTGGGGTTCGATCCCAGAACCCTGGGATCATGACCTACCTGAGCCAAAGGCAGACACTTAACCATCTAGCCACCCAGGCGCCCCACTTAACAGGGTATTGAGCAAGAGGGTGATGGGATCTGATTTACATGGTTGAAAAATAGACTATTTTTTCAGCTTGTTGCTGAATTAAATTTTGCAGTGTTCATTTCTGGAAGAGTAAATACTGCAAAAGGGTATTCCATTTTGAAAAATAGAAAACTGAGTTATGTTCACTTTTATCACCTACCTGACCTTCTCATTGCTGCAATGAGGTATGAATATCTACCCAAGCGCAAAATACTCTTAATACAAGTTGCTGGAAACAGACTTCGTTGTTTAATGGGTAAGTAAATACAGTGTACACATAGCCATAGGTTACAATAAGAATTTCAACAGCTTTCAGTCTCTGCTCACTACTTTGTTCATGCTGTTCAATAAATATTTGTTGAATAAATTGAATTTAGCTGAGCAAACATACAGTGCTTCATCTCTGAATCCTTTTTTTCTAATTCTGAGATTACTTCGTACACTTTCCAGAATTTTAATTTCCATCATGGAATTATTAGGTTCTGAGTAATGTACATAACACAGCTCTTGCATTTAGCTTATGCTCTGTAATTGAACCAATCAGTTTTTAATAAATATTTAAGAATTATTATGTATCAGTCACTGTCCTGGGCCCTGAGGAGTTTCAAGAGTTCTTGCCTTAAATGGGACCAAATTTACAACAAAGTTTGTGATTGGTCCTAAGATAGTTTTGAGACCATAAAGAAAAGGCTTACTTGGGTGTTAGGGGAAGGAAGTTTTGCAGAAAGGAGAACTGAGTATCAGGGGTTCGGTGGGAGTTTGCCAGACAGAGGGGAAATGGGAAGAAGGAACAACAGAATAGAAAGTTGAATACTCACAACCATGACTGGAGCTTAGGGTATGTGTGGGAGGATAATACTAGATGAGCAAAGTGAGACACAGCCAGATTGTGAAGGGACCTGTATATCTCATTAAGACATTTGGGCTTCTCACAAAGTACTTGACATATAAAAAGTACTCAACAAAAAGTTTTATTATTCTGTCAAATATTTATTGAGTACCTGTTATGCAGCATTCCCTGAGCTAAGCGCAGAAATACAGTAGTCAAAGACACAGTCTTTGCTCCTATGAAATGTACAGTGCAGAAGAGAAAACTTAAAGCAAATATTTGTTTAACTTTCATTCATCAAATATTCACTGACTATTTACTGTAGGTCAAAAGCAAATAATTACCCAAGTATCTTTCTGTATATAGTTGTGATCATTGTTCTGGATAAACAAAGTACCTATATGAAAAAAAAGACATTTGGGCTTGATATGAAGAATCAGTATAAGAATTTTAAGCAGCCAACTAATATGGTCAGATTTTATTTTACAGGGAGAATGCTGGTGGCTGAATAGAGGATGAAGGAGAGGCATAAGACTCTGGATACAGTGGACCATGTTAGGAGCCTTTGTGGCAATTGTCTGGGTAACATGGGAATGTAGAGAGTCCTAAATCCAATTTCTGAGGCAGAAATTAACCAGACTAATTGGACATGGGGAGTAAGAGAGAAAGATTCAAGGGTGTCTGCATTTTCTCACTTGGTCATTTGAGTGGGTGATAAACTTAAACAAGAAATATAAAAGAAACAGGCTTATTTGAAAGCATCAGGGTGCTTATAGAATAGAGAGCATAATGTATATCCAGTCTAGCCTGACAAAGTATTTCTTCTCTTGCCATTAAAAATACCATTTATGAAGAAGATATTATGTGATTTGAGAGGCAATATACTATAATATTTAACAGCAAGGATTCTAGAAACAGACTGCTTGGGTTCAAATCCTGGATCCATCTCTTAGTAGCTATGTGACCTTGGACAACTTACTTCAGCCTAACTAGTTTCTCTCTGCAAAATGAGGGTAAATCATAGTATTTATTTCATAGGGGTTTTGTGAGGATTAAATTAATATATGTAAAGCCCTTAGAATACTGCCTGACAAGAGCCATTTGCCATTGTTACTCTTGTTTGGGAAATTGGATATTTTATTTAAATAAAACATAATACCAGCTTTGTATGCAGCTATTATGTTGCTCTACTTTTGCTTTTTTCCTAGAGCACTTATCTTCTAACATACTAGACACTTTACGTATTTCTGATGTTTATAGTATATTATTTGTCTACCTTTCACTAGAACAGTGGTTTTCAAAGTGTGATCCCTGAAACACTAGGAACTGGAACTCTAGAAACGCAAATTATTGGGTCCCATTCAAGGTTTACTGAATTATTAACTGTTTTAACATCCATCCAGGGGATTTCTGATTCATGTCAAGTTTGAAAGCAACTGAGCAAAAACCAAGCTCTATGTTTTCTCCACATCCTTGTTAGCACTTGTTATTTCTTGTCTTTTGATAATAGCCATCCTCTAACAGGTGTGAGGTGGTATCTCATTGTGATTTGATTTGCATTTCTCTGATGATTGTGATGTTGAGTATCTTTTTTTGTACTGTTGGTCATCTGTATGACTTCTTTGGAAAAAATGTTTATACAGATCTTCCACCCATTTTTTAGTCAGATTGTTTGGGGTTTTTTTCTCTTGAGTTGTATGAATTATTTATATATTTTGGATGTTAATCCATTATCAGATATATGATTTGCAAATCTTCTCTCCCATTTGGTAAATTGCCTTTTTATTTTGTTGTTGGTTTCCTCTGCTGTGCAGAAGCTTTTTAGTTTGATGTAATCCCACTTGTTTATTTTTGCTTTTGTTACCTTTTGGTTGTCAAATCTAAAAAATCATCACCAAGACTGATGTCGAGGAACTCTTGTGTTTTCTTCTAGGAGTTTTATGGTTTCAGGTCTTACAGTCAAGTCTTAGGTCCATTTTGAGTTAATTTTTGTATATGGTGTAAGATAGTGATCCGTTTCTAATCTTTTGCATTTTTCTGTAAAGTTTTCTCCAAACTGTTTATTGAAGAGATTGTATTTTCCTGTGAGGTAACAAATATATATAGATATATTGGTCTCTGTCCCTGGTTCCTGCACAGAGGTCCTAAGATCCTTGTAATTTCCTAAGTGATAAGAACAGTAGGAGCATCTTTTGTTCTAATGAGATGACTCTGGATGGCTTCCTAGATGGGGACTGGTCACCAGAACAACCCGTGATTAGAAGCTTGGATTTTCAGCCCTACCCCTTGTCCTCCAGGGAGGGAAGAGGAGGTGAAAATGGAGCTACTAATTGATCATGCCTTTGTGAGGAAGCCTTCATAAAATCCCAGTAGTATATGGGGTTCAGGGAGCTTCCAGGTGGATGAACATATCCATACCTGGAGGGTGATGCACCCCAACTCCACAGGAACAGAAGCTCCTGCACTCAGGACCCTCCCAGACCTCACCCTGTGTATCTCTTTATCTGGTTGTTCATCTGTATTCTTTATCATAACCCTTAATAAATTGGTAAATGTTAAGTAAGCATTTCCCTGAATTCTGTGAGCATATCTTACAAGTTAATTGAACCTGAGGAAAGGGTCATAAGAACTGTCAATTTGTAGCCAAATTGGACAGA